CTACTACAAGAATGGTTTGGTCCAGCACCCAGCCTCACTCTAACTGGGGAATTAATACAGCACGTGGATACGTTTGGTTATCTGGGCAGCTACATCTCACCCGGTGGGCGCATCACGGATGAAGTGTCAGCTCGCATACAGAAGGCTCGGTTGGCATTTGTTAACTTGAGACATCTGTGGCACCGTTGCAATATGCGGCAGTCTGTCAAGGATCGAGTGTATGCTGCAGCAGTTCGGCCAGCCTATCTCTCGAAATCTGTTGCTAATGGATTCCAGTCTCGACGCGACAAGCCCAGTTAGGATCGTGTATGTTAACACCAACGCCCAGCTGCGGAGTGAGTTGCAATTAGAAGATGAAAACCTGACAAGGATGTGTACAAAAATACTGTCATTCACACACACTCACTGTGTTTGCATTGGTAAAACTGTGATGATTCGGCCCTGTCGTATTCATGTATAACTTGATGCACTGTTCGACGGAATAAACTGTGGTTTTCTGCCACATTGCAACAGTTAGGATGCAGCGAAATCTACCTTGGCGTAAATCGTACAACTAAGCTTTGTTGTGCTCTCTTTTCAAGTTTATCTCAGGATTCAGACTGACTTCATTGACGAGTCTGTGCATTTTTGGCACAACCATATGTTTCATTTGAATTTGATTAGAGAATAGAATCATGGCATCGAACAATTGGTGCATGAGACTGAGATGGTTGGTAAATTTGACTGAAAAGGATCTAACCGAAACGGGAGAATTTTACACAGCTACCGACCGCGAACCAAAGTGAATAACGAGATCCCACGTCGCAAGAGTAGGAAAGGGTTACAATTACGTGTGGTGCATTTTTTCGTCAAAGGATGGCTTCAGTTTTCGGTTCGTTTACTATTTTTGTGACTCTCGTTTTAGGGTTCTACAACAGTTGATTGGGGTTCTGATCTCCGGCGGTTATTTTCGTGGTACCAGCCGTGCTTCTGAGACAATACGAATACAATGAGAGCGAATTCTATGATGAGAAAAATACCTGTTTTGCGCTTTTTCATTGTTGTATCCAATGAAAGGTTTGTATGGTATGGTGGAAAATGTAGTTCAACCGTTCCCTGGGCTGCAGTTTCAAGGTCAAGGACATTGACGTGGATAACAAATCATTTCCTCCAGTCAAATGTAAATAGTAGTGGACCGCTAACTGAATGGATTGTTATTTACGCAGTAACAAGAGTTTACTCCATATGACAAAGAAAAGTCATGTAAATGCTGTAGGCTAGAAATACGAATAAGTGTTTTACAATCAGTAAAACGGATCAGTGTGAATGTAAGCACAATTTAAGCACACCGATTTGCTTCAAAGAGGTGCTGGTTTTACACATTCGAAACATTATTTATTGATCCAACTCAGCACGTCAGTCTGAACAGTAGGGGATTTGGAAAACGTCTGATGATACCAGTCCAAAGACAGAATTACACCTCGGAATTCTCATCTAGGTGAGTTGTTGTTTTTCCCCGCTGAAAATCAAATCAACGATTCCCGAATCCAGACCTCAATCCGCGATTCCTTTTGTTCCCCGTTTNTTTTGTTCCCCGTTTTTCAAGAATACTCCGTTACATCTGCACATGTGGGAAGCGGTAACAAAAACGGACAAATGGATTCAACAACTGGATCCTTTGACCGTGGAGGACGACCGGAAGAAGAGCAGATCAGGTGCATATTTGGCGGTTAAACATGGAACGACACATTTCACAGTAGAGGTAATATCCTTGCACTCCTTCACTCAACTGTGATCTCATCTAATTTGACCTCCCGCATATGCGTGGTTGAAGCGTCGCGACGTTTTGTCTCGATTAATTTGTCTGTTTTTGGGGTTATCAGTTCTGATAAATTCCTGATGTAATTTATCCAAACTAATTTTCTTGGTAAATTATCCGAAAATTGTCATATTTTCATCGCATCCAGATACGAGTTTATATTTCTAAGCAATTTGTAGCAAAAATACAAAAACTAATAATGCTAACTATAATGATAACACAATTTTTGTACAAAGCTTGCCGACCCAATCAGACGCACAGGTTAGCTGGATAGAATCCCAAGTTTTGAGTCAATTTCACTCATTAAAGTTTATACTATTCTTTAAAATAGGATTCTATAACAACTATTCCGGACAGATCTTGGTGAGTGTTACTTTTGTGTACCACAGGGTAATATTAAACTATATGTATAATATGTCTAAAGTTCCGGGAAACCAAACTGAATTACAACAGACCTGAGACTCATTTCTTCATTCTGTTGTGATAACCGAACGCCGAGATGTTTATGCACTGGATACTACCAGATCAGTGGTAACCCCAACTCAAGGCCCATTGAGGAATGTCTTTTGTCTCGGCCACCGGTAAACACAAATACTCTCGCTCGAGCGCGCTTTCGGACTGGCGCAACTAACAAACACGAACAGTGTGATCAGGAAACCCAATCAGGAATAACTGATCAGATTCACGTCCACACATACAAACACCATTTTGGTGGAATACAATATAATCGAAAATGAGTAAGGACGTTTGGGACAGCCACGGCTGTCATTGATGTTGTAAAGATAGTGCAACTATCAGAGAGCGCTGGTAAAAACCATCGATGACTATCTTTTGAAGCCTGTTGTAAAATTCCTGCGAACAGGCATGTTTTGTGAGCCAACTAATCATTTTTCGGAATGGTATTATTTCATTTCCTTTGGTTTGAGGTTTTGTAAAATACGTTCCATGCGCACTCTGATTCGGCTCCGACGTGCACTTGACTTTCAGGCTACTGCCAAATCGTGGCCAACCGTTGTTCGACTGACACAATCTCTGACGATACATCCTATTCCATTCAAGTTGCAAGCAATTTCATTGACTGTGAATGGGCTGCCAGTCTCGATTGAACACAGCACACTTAGTCTTGGATCACTGGTTAATTTTCTGATTGAGATTCGTGATCAAAACGATCAAGTGGTTCGTGTCGATGAGAAACACGTAAGTCACACCGTCTTCTGTCTCGGCGAATCTTAAAAGTCTTTGTACTTATGATGGGAATGTTTGTGATAACCGAAAAAGACCAACTGTTTCGTCCGGTTTGGAACTCGTCAACAGTGTATACGTTTTGTGTTCCTGTCAAGAGTACTAGCGCGGCTGAATAATCGAATGGGGTAATTCAAGCTTGATACCCTAAATTGAATACGCCATTCGCAAAAGGCGATTACCGACAACCGTGTAGCTTAGGGGTAAAGGTTTGAAGTCCCAATCCGACTGTTTGTTGTTCGAGTTCTGACAGGGAAACAAAGAGTATGCACTGCTAACAAGTTCCAAACAGGACGAAACAGTTGTCCAGTGATCTCTTTCGGTTATCACTAACATTTCCATCGCATGTAAATGCAAGGAAATGGTGGGGAATTACCGATCTTCCAAAGAGTGAAACCTACACCCAAGAGTGCCTGGTGCCTTTTAACGATCGAACGGGTTAATCCAAGCATGATACTTAAAAAATATATTTGTACCTATTCTTTCTTCTCTGTTGGCTACATCCCTTGAGAATACGTTAACATGCTCAGTTAAACATTCACCCCCAAAAATGTCAGTAGAGTTGGTCGCTTTGCATCTATTTGTTTGCAAATCCAACGAAATCGCACAGTCTCAAGGACCTATCGTTCATCCATGGGAACCGGTAATCACAGATTAGGGAACTTGGAGTGGCGAATCTCACATAGGGCTTCAATATCACAAACGTGGTTTTGAGGAAAATTTCAACATCTAATACACTCCAACTGTTTCTCGCAAACTTTTTCATTGCAATTGTATATCTCAGCAATGAACTAAGTGCTGCTTCAATAATTAACTTCATCAGGAGTTCAAATGTAGCAGGGCTGAGAGGAAAACGGATTCTACAAAATAGTAACATCTCATCTAACACAGTGTTAATTGGAACTGAAGGTGGATAGAAATGTCAATTCCGATCTCTGCACATGGTCCACTTTCCAAAACAGACAATGGTCAGTTATAATAGGGACAGCACCTTGGCATTCGATGGTAGTCCGGTTATAAAATGCTACTGAAAGTATAAGTTGACCCTGGATGTGGCTATCCAACAGACATACAGCATCAAAGTGAATACCTAAAGCAAGGTAAAACGCACCCAACAATGTCAATAAAAATAAATAAGATAGATCTGATGTAAGCTCAAAGAAATATATATTTTTCTATTGGAATTAGCAAAACTGGAGGAAGGATTATATCCACAAACAGTCAGAAAGAGGAGAAACAGTTACCTAATTAAAACCGAATAACCGAGCAGGAATGAAGGGTGGAGATGTTTCAGTGCTACCGACTGAGAGAATATTTCGTATAAATGAAACGAATAATTAATTAACATGCATGCAGATAGGCAACGAAAGACGAACGAATTTGGGTAAGCTGTTGCCTTTATTATCAGAATATTGGTCAATCAAGTCATTTACTAGTTTGTTAATGTAGTGTCCAGTATCCAACACATTTCGTACCACTGCTGCTGCTGGATGAGGAACATTTCCGGTTAATTTCCAGCCTCATCCCCTCGTCCCCTTTCACTCAATCGAAGCGTCTTTGCTAATGACTCAACAACTAGCAACTTTTTCGCAGGAAGCCATGGAAGTGTTTCCATGCATGGCGATTTAATATTCAGTTCCACCCTGTTTTCTGTGGGCAGACAACTGATTGAACCCCGGGTTATTGATGGTCGAAATCAATTATTTTTATGTGGCTTTACTCAATTTATTCGAATGGATCCAAGGACAAGGGCATTTCCCATATTTTTTATCATTCGATTATCGATATACATCAGTAAATCTGCATGGGAGAACGGAGTGTTATTACTGTACCACTACCGGTTCCCGAGAGCTCTCAGCTTATGTTTATTTCTGTTGTATCCATAGTGGTCGTCTGTGCGTCATTTACTCAACAACAGACGCTCTATTACTTCCAATCAACTGACTTTTATTTAGACTAGTCTTCTGTAGAGGCCTAGATGATCCTTAGGCTTACAACACATACTGGTTAGAGAAGATATCCAACTGATCGAACCGAAACTCGAGTTACGTGGTTGATGAGTGTACAGTTAGATGAGCAAAGAAGATGAATCCCTTGGTAGATAATGAGACACTTGGTGAAACTGACACTGATCCCACCCGACTGTTTAGAAAAGCTACGAGTGAGAAAAGATACTCCCAGATTTCATGCCTTCGTTGTTTATCAGCGTTCCTTATACCCCACTTGTTTTTCACAATTCCAGACACAATGGTGGTCTATCGAGAGCACTTTTTCCTCGCCAGGTTCCGAAACCTCGGTGCAAACCGAAGAAATCAGAGGTGGATTGCTTAATCGTTCGATTTCCGTGAAAATGAAATCATCCAAAGAAGTCTTGATTGTATATCACCGTGCTCGACTGCACACCAAAGAGAACAATGCTGTTCGAGATTTGAGAATTCTGCGACAGGCATTTCGAGTGTCCAATACACCGGGTATTTTGCCAGAGGAGAAGCGGATTCGGCGGATGAGTTTTTCAATTCCTACGACCGGGGGTGTACTAGTAGGAGCTGAGGAAAAGCTCCGGTCTGCGGTGCAAAATACGATGATCAGTAATTTTCCTTTCGTGAAAATTTGTGGATTGGAAGTTGATACAGGTAAGTGATGCATTTTTTTCAGGTTTGTCGTTGTGGAAGATAGAAAACACTTGGGTAAACCAAGCATGTTGCGAGATTTATAGTTTATCATCAACTGGTTTTCCTTCATTGTAAAGAAATGAGTTGTCTTGAAATAAATTTGCCCGGCAGACAACAGAAAATTTATAAAATTTATACTACCGAGGATGGCCGCAAAGTTCTCCCAATATTTCAAACAGAAAATCGGAGTGGAGAACAAGCTAGTTTTCCGATATTCGTATTCATGCCAATACATCTCAATATATATCACAACTTGAGATTGGTGAACACCACCCTGCGTGACTGAGCACCGAAGCGATTAAGTCACTCACCAGTGCAGTGGTTTCAGACCTAGTTGCAATAAATCACACTGTGGACGGTTCCGGGGCTTTCCGTCCCCTGTATAAAGTTCGTGGGCGATTATCGAGACCGGTGCACTGTCGTATGCTGGCCACAGCAGAAGCGTTGAGCATTCGTCTGCACAAACCCCCTCTGTGTGCCCCAAAAACAATTTGTGCAAGCGCTAAAGCTTCCCCGGCCCATCCCATACACACACCGCATCAGGAGTAATGTCCATGATCGAATGAGTGAAAAAAAATATGTGATCGTGGTGAGCAAGACTACTGGTCTTACGATGAAATCATTTCCAGTAATCTGTGATTTTGTTTTATTTCATTTTCGAAGACAATCCATACCCAAGTAGTGATATATATTGAGATATATTGAGATGAATACGAAACTCTTAGTATTATTAGAGCTTGTCCTTCACAGCAATACTATGTTCAATGTTCAATGTTCTTCAATTAGAGGCAGAGGGTATTTTCCTGTATGAGCCTCATCACCACAGACTCGAAGATCTCATTCATGATA